GAATTTCCTATAGTGATATTGTTGAATATGTTCAACACCATCAGGTACCTTCAGTTCTCCTGAGAGCTCATTTTCAAGTTTCTTAATGAGATTTTCGTGGTAAAGATCTTCATAAGATTGGATGATTTGTAGCCTCTGTGCTTCATCTCTATGCGCTAAAATATCGATCAATGTTTTCTCATCTGCCTCCCTTCCTGAAATAAAAATGCATGATATATGATATGAAGGCTTAAGAAAACAATATGCTATAGTATGAAACATATAATGTTTGTCAAAAAATTTTAATGGATTTTTGATGTAGCTAAAATGTTAAACAAGGAAAGATGCATGCTTTTGTCTGTCGTCCAGCATAATAATTTCTTAAAAGTGATAAAACATATCACTACAGAAAAATCGTCTATTACCGACGGATTCCTGACGGATTTACTGGCGTACTATTTTTTGTCGGATTTCTATGAAATAGTTCCGATAGATTTTTAGTGAGATTTTCCAGCGGATTTTCTGAAGGATTTTAATTATTTCAATATAAAAGAGTAAGTACTTTAACATATTTTTCTTCCAGAGCAAAGTGGTTGCAGGTTCAGGCTTCGAACTCCACCAAAAGCACCGCGCGGGTAGGCAGGTAGCGTAGCAACCGGGCGGGTAGCGCACGCAATCTATTTTTTACTGTTCGGCTGCTTTTTCCGGCAGAAGAAATTCGTAGGAAAAAATTTTTCAACGGCAAATTTTACCAACGCTCGATTTACCGTCGAAAAAAATTCCGTCGGCTATTCGCCAAAAAATTTTAATATCCGCCTGAAACTTCACAATTTTCCGCCAGAAATTCCATCGATAATGACTGATTTTTCTGTAGTGTATGCGGAAAGAGAGGGAAAGTCTGAGATATAGATAACAAAATACAAAACCTTGGCAGGCCATCCAGAGATTCATTGCATCTTCTTTTGCAGAAGGAACTTGCAATGGAACTCTGAGCGTTGCCATCTCTCTCTCTCTCTCTCCCTCACATGGAGAAGGAGAAGGCAACATTTTTCCTGCTTAAATAGGCAGCTCAGTTATGTAACTTTCTTCTTCTCTTTAATTGGTGGCAACCATCATTCGATCCATAAATATAATTTATTCACCGATTTATTCTGAAAACTTACAGCTGGCTTAATTTTTACCTTCATATCTTCAACTGATTAATACCTATATGCTTTTATTAGACGCGTTTGTTTGTATTAGTTATAGTTTTGTAACGAATGAGCATATGGAACTTACGGACCCCATATTGACTAAAAATAGAAAACAAAAATCTATATTCTGCTTAAATTTTTACTGTAATTAAATACAGAAAATTTGAGAGAAAATCTTTATTATGTTGATTTTTAGGATTTTTTTGTCTTAAATCGTTTCCTAAAGTGTCATAATTTTGAATGTCAAGAAAAGTTTGCTTAGAAAAATGCATTTAGGAACCCCCAAATTACTAAGGTTCGCAGCACCAAAAATTTCATCTCACTTTCAAATTTAAGAAGAGTTGATTATTTGGTCAAAGACTTCAATAAATAATTATGAGATCATCCAAAATTCTTTTTCAATAAGCTTATGATGAGACATTGTGATTCCGACAGTGGAACCGAATGATGCCAAGAGCACATAGATCCAAATTTAAATGGGTCTAACTCCTAAATCAAAGACTCATTGCATAAATATTCTATGAATATAAGTGCTTATAATCAAAATAAGTGTCTCCATGAATTTGATTATATAATTCAGGATCGGTGAATTTTGAGTTCATTAATAAAGCATTAAAAAGCTAATAAAAAAAGAATATGATCAAGGATGATCTATTTAGAGTGTCAAATCGCTCAATTTTGAGATATTTGAAGAATTTTAGATCTCTAATTGTCATCACCTAATGTTGGTCGTTAATTAATATTGATGTCGGCAGCCATGGGTTGCTTCGTCCAACGGGACCTTGTAGACCTGGGTTGAATGTTTGTCCAAGGGGACAAATTTGAATCCACCTTAGCACACAGAGGGCTTTGTGCCCTATCAATCATATCCTATTGATTCATATCTCAAGGATTTGATGACAATAAGGAACGTAACGGCGCTGGCCATAACCGATATTTCGTGGTGCCATTTGGCGGCAAAACCACTCAGTTCAGAGGACCCCGGGTCATAATCGTTTATCCTGCGGTGCCATTTGGCGGCAAATCGCCGGTCAGAGGACACCTACCACGTCCTTACTAGCAGGCGATTGTTTGAGAATGGATCCTAGTGATACTTTCGACTAGGCATTTGGCTCTTTGTGAGCTAGAGTTTATTTGAATTTGTCCACCTCGGCAGACTGTTGCGGAGGGTGGATGAATTTTGCTTTAAGCGTTGGGATGGATAGTTTCAATTTTAAATATTTTTGGAATTTTAGAATTTTCTGAGATTTGAATTTTTGGATGGAGCTTGGAAGATATTCGGATATTTGGGAGTCATTTGAAATGTTTGTGAACCCCTCCGGTTGAGATAAACATTCAACACGGCCATCATCGGGGTGTTCGAGGTCATTTCTCTTTATGGATTAAACCTTGTCAACTTTGTCGGGCTATTGACAGAGGATCGGGTTTCGTAAGCTTTATGCCATTGATAGTGAATTCTCATTGTTATAGGCTTTGAATGCCTAATATGAATATATTAAGACAAATATGACGATCGTCACAACCGTATATTTATTTGTTGGTTCGAACCCTGTCGACTTCTATTGACCCGTATAGAAGGGTTGGTTTCGAACTTGAATTCACTTATTGACCCGCGCAGCTTCCCTAGACGTCACGTGTGTACCAATAATACACTCGTCGGGGCCCAAGTGGGTGTTTGAGGGCATTTTGTAATTAAACCCTGTCGAGTCCTTTTACCTGTTAAGGAGGATCGGGTTTAAATTTAATAACCCGCGCAGCATCCCTAGACGTCACGTGTGTACCAATAACACGCTCGTCAGGGCCCTTGCGGGTTTGGGATTGTATTTTCCCCTTTAGTGTACCTATGTGTATACAAACTACGGTGTATATGCGGTGGTATTTTTAGAATATTTACATAACGCCTTCTGTCCACTAATACTAATGTTGTGGATCCGGTGGCATGGTGTTGTAGTTGTGGACGCCTTCTGTCTGCTCGTATGAGTATTGCAGATCCGATGACGTGGCGTTGTAGTTGTGGACGCCTTCTGTCTGCTTGTACGAATCGTAGTGAACTAACGAGTCTCCTGCTTTTGTTCGTAGATGCTTGTATTTGTTGTATGTACGATGAATCTCCCACTCTAACTCATCAGCACTTGCAGTTGATATAGTTACTTTGTATCTTGCTCAATGCTCGTGGACAATAAACTGGGTGTACTACGAGTCTTCTACAGTGGCTCATGGATACTTGCAATTGTTCTAGTCATCTTGCATGTTGTTCGTAGATGATATGTGATATTTATAGCGGTGCTCCAACAGAAGCTCGTGGGAGCTTATATCTATCCTATTCTTTATGCACTCCGCTTTGGCTCTGGTCTTTACATCCACTACTGTTGCAGGTAGATGAATTCATTTGCATACTAGAATTGACTACAGGATACTGCATTTATTATAGTCTTTATGCATCTATCCATCAGTGGCATGTGGCACATACGATTGTCTATGTAGAGAGATATCGTATGTGTTGCAGATCTTTTTTTTTTTTCTTGCTTGTAAAAGGTTGATGTATTTTGCTTGATGCTGAATGATGGTTGACTATAATAGCTTTGCAATATTCATTGGGTCTTGCTACATAGTTTGTAGGTGCTGGTGTTTATCACTAACCTTCTCATACAAACTAGTCAGTGGGTCGTTATGTTCGCTCGTGTGCTTTTCATTGCTACTTATGATCATTCATAAGTTTATTGTAGCCACTTGTAAGCACATTGTTGTGTGCATACAACATATCTTCCATTGTTAATAATAGACATTCGTACTCATCCATAGTTCTTCGTATACTCGACCATGGATGGTATATGATGATTCTTCTATAGTCACTTGCATGCAGATTGTAATATCTTCTCTGATGGATATATGAATAAGAAGTTTCTTACAGTAACTCGTAGGAACTTGTATGTGTTATAAGTATACTATTCTTGCTTGAAGGTGATGCATTTTGCGTATTACATGCCTTATACTATCACTTTGGGAGGCAAATCGCAGAGGATGTAGATTTTCTAGTGTTGTTTGCAAGCAAAAGTATTCGATGCAACTCTTCCACATTTTTTTTATAGATATGTCGTATTTGCAGTATATACCCACCAGCAGGTTGTCGCTGCATACTCTTTGCCATTCACTTTTGGACATCCTGTATTCACTGTGCATATTACAAGCCTTCTATAACAATTCGTAGGTTCTTCCATCAACAAGGTGTGTCGTATCTATTTGTATGAAGTATTGTCATTTGTAGGCATGTTACTACGCCTGTTAGCAATCAAGCAACTTTGATTGTATGCAAACTGCATTTTACTTTGAACCTCTTGAATATACATTGACTAATATGTCATTGCATTTGGTGTTTGCAACGAATCAGTGCATTCTTCCACAAGAGAGTTGATATTGATTGTCGTTTGCAATCATTCACCAATATAACTACACTCGCTGCACATCCATCTTGCTTTTGGGACATGATATGCTTAACTGAACACATGTGTTACATTTGTTGTGCCTCTCTTGCATTTTGTTCATGATTGATGTATATTGCACTCATCTTGTCCCCGCAATTTTAGCTATTGTGTTTCATAGAAGGATCATGTTCACCTTCATAATTATGTGTGGGTCACTTCACTACAGGAAAACCCCATATTACCGGCGGACGAAATCCGCCGGAAAACATAGATATTCCGACATAACTATAAGTTTCCGGCGCACGTTTCGGCGGAAATTCATACGCCGGTTTTGGTCGCGTCGATAAATTATTTCCGGCACAAATCTTGCGCCAGAAATTTCTCTGGCGCAGTTTCTGACGAATTACCGGCGAAAAAACGGATTGTTATCGACGTTAAAAGACGTCTTAATTCCGGCGCCATATGCACCGGTAATTAGCGTCGTATTAATAAAGCTTTCTTTTGCATGCAATGATCTTCCTTCTTTGTTTATTAATATTTATTTGAAAGTCTAGAATTTGTCACTTAGAACCTTGCATCTTAGCATCTTTGTGTAATCATCAACTTAGAGGTCCAAAATCACGTCATATGAGTTAAGTTCATGCTCACTTTTGATTTCTCTTAGCTTCAAGTTTAATACTTCTTGTACCAAGTTCACTTGAGTTCAAGTATGAGATCAATGTCATTATAGCTCAAAACACATTCGAGTACAAATTTTCAATATCCAAATTAAGCTTTATTTATTTCATTTGAGTACAAATTGGTTCATCACTAATTATCTTTATCTTAATATTCAAGTTCATTCAAATTTGGCTTATTGTCATTTAGGTCTCTTATTCCTTAAATTAAGTTCAAGCTTGAATTATTGAGTTAAATTCAAGTTGAGTTCAATTTGATGTTCAAATTAGTTCAAAGTAAGTTCATTTGCACAAGTCCCTTGTTGTCCAAATAATGTCCAAGTCCTTGTCTTTTTAAGACAAAATTTCGGCAGCCTCCCGGCGTCTCCCCCGTTTAGGGGAAATTTTGGGAGACAAGCCTTCCCACCACGCTCAATAAAGGCGTGTATGGTAGGTGCCCTCAGACGAGGACACCGCGCCCGTGTACTTTCCTCCCACCACGCACAATAAAGGCGTGTATGGGGTCTTCGAGTGCACATGCATAAAAAATAACAATAATAAAAAAAAAAACACAGTTTGCTTTCCCCTCGCTCGAGGGTACTTATAAATGACCCCGCTTCGTTGTAGGCGTCGCACCGGGGTGTATAGGCGGTTTTCCAGTGCGCCGCGAACATCGAAATGGAGTTTAGGTGATTGCCTGCCTCGTCGTAGGCGCCGCACCGGGGTCCCAT